ATCCCGCTGAGGGTGTTGATAAGACCGATGCGAGGTCGAAACTGCAGTCCACTGGTGCCTGAATGAGAACGACTTTTGGGAAAGCAAGGCTATGTGAAATTGAATGGAAACATCAGCTCTACTCATATCATTGTGGGAACATTCTACTACCAGTCCTTCATCACCTTACACGAAATAGGGTGAATACATCTCATTACACTGATCATGGTATGTCTGCCGCTAAACATAAAATTAGAGAAGCCATCGAAATAAACCGAATAGGGAGTACATTGAATGTAAGAAATATCGGCAAAAAGTTAAATAAAAATTAATTGTGTTTAATTAATAGACTCAAGCATAGAGAGGGCGTTGAGCCGTCTGCAAAAATGAGGTGAATCATCTAGTCTTTTCCTGTCTTGGTTCTAATCACGATTACTTCTTTGTACTTTTAACCTATTCCCTATCTATAACATGAATAAGAAAATCACTCATCAACACAACCAGACGTGTGTTTGACCTTCCCCAATCGGAGTTATGATTAAAACATATATATATAAAGAGGGTGATGATGGGCAACAAACTGTGATGGCCAAGAACAGACGTTACTTTTGCTGTCCTAATTACTTTGAGCCATCACTACTAGTTTCGTACATATGCGAACACATACATACACACATACATCTACAGATACATACACACTCACATGCTTCGGGGTTGTGGCATATGACCGGAATTAACCAAATCACTTTATATCGCATCAAGGAGGTCAGATATAGAGGATATATACAGCTTTTTATGAATGAGCCGGTAAGTTTTCTTGACTCTTTAGCTTGGATTTGGTTGTAAGGATGATATCCTGCTTCGATGATTTTCGTCATACGACGTACGAAAGCTCAGCACTTTTTCACCGGAATCGAATAAGATTACCTCGGAAACAGCGTCAACAAGAATGTTCCAGTAGAACCAATCGACAGCTGGTCAAGAGGAATCAGCCATCGTCTTCTGGTGGGATCTACCTTCCAGTCTCTTCCCCAAACACTTTCACTCGAAATGGAAGTAAACTCAGCAGTTATCGCATATCTGTTGCAAAAATCAGAATGAGAGAAACTGTCGATTAAGGATATCCATGAATGCCAGGAAAGGGGTGTGAAAAAGTGTGCTAAAAACATTTATGTTCGTTTGATGTTATTGGGGAGAGAGTGAGACTAGAGCAACCTTCGAAGAGAAAGCAATTCAACTAATAGCATCAACTATAGTTCCAATTAAGGCATGACTTTCTGCACTTGGGCTCAGAATGTTAATTAAAGCAGCCGCAAGAGTGTCCAGCTTTGCGTGATCATAATGAAGAGTTATCTTGGGTCAAAAAGAAAAGGTCATCAAACCATGATAGCCTTAAGACAAACCTTTCTGATCTGTTCTGTTTACTCGGGACTGCCACTCTCATTTCATATTTCCGCACATACACATGCACCGATCTATATCAATAAAGAGAGATATCATAGGTAAATTGCCAAATATTTACAGACCTGCAGTTAATTGAGTTATTTTATGATTTTACATAAGAAAGAAAAACTGACCGGTAAGTTTTCTTGTCTTTATCTAGGCTCGGGAAGCGGAGGATGAAGTATAGAGTGTTACTTCAGCATACACGCCATATTATTACCAAACAACCTCAGAGAAGCAAGTATCTGTTCTCTATTACTACTGCTGCTAGTATTACTACTTCCATTATTATTAGTAGTAGTATTAGTAATATTACTATTATTGCTGTTATTATTATTAGGGTTCCTTTGATCACTTTCAGTGATGAAAGTTAAGAGAATTTAATCTTCTGGAGGCATAGATAGGACAAATTTAATAGCTTCTATCCACTTTATTTTTAGCGGCACAACCATTGTACGATTTTCATCAGTTAAAACCACTTAAGAATTAGGCTCGAAGAAGGACAAATTCATCCCATTACTCACTTTTACTTAAATGCCATCAAGGCCGATATTCTACTTTCAGGCGGAGCTGGAGTAGACACTTTGGTCCCCTCATCCGGCGATGCAGCTTCTCTCGACGCTTTCTCCATCAAGAATGTGCCGTGCACTCGTGTCTGTACATGTCTTGATGGTCCAGACTCTGGGTCCTGTTCTACACGTTCCGCTCTTTCGAAGTTTTCCATCCTGCAACACTTGAGGGAGGAAACTGTGGAAGACTCCTTCATCGAGACCTGCTGGTCTCTGCAAAACCTCGGCTTAGAAACGCACCATGCGCCAACACAAATTAACTTATCTTCCCTCTGACAGCCGGTTTTCGGTCCAACGAAGTTTCTTTTGATCTATACCTCCATCCGGCTGAATAGACTATGATCTTTTTCTTCTGGCAATCCATATTCTGAATCCATTTTCGACTAACTGATTGCTATCCTTTTCTATACTTATCAACCTGAATTACTTCAATTGCCTCTAATTTTCCTTCCTTCATTTTTCCTACTTTATTTTCTGTCCATTCATTTACGTATTTTTGTCTAGCTGAATGTTTGTTTAGGGATAATTTAATTTTTTTATCGAACATTCTGATTCCTGTTATCGCTTGTTTCCTCTGGCTAAAACATTGGTCCTTATATACTTCGAACTCCTCACATGTCCAACGCACGTTCCCCTCTTCAGTGCCCCGTTCGCCCCATTATTGCCCTGCCTTAGCCACCTTTTCCTTTGACTGTCCCGTGATCTTACCTCCCGCTGTGCGTTTATGCCTAAGCCGGTGTTATTGCGGCAATCAACTTTTGCCCGGTTCTTGAAGCCTCCTCCTTTCCGCTTTCCGCCAACAGCATTTCGTGCAGTTGCCTACCCGTTGCCGGGTTATTCTGCGCAAGACATTGATTATGCCTGCAGAATCGGCTCCTGTCTCGAGGCTCTTTTATAGGCTTACATGGACAGTCCTGATTCTGGGGTCACAATGTGTATTCAGACTATGCCGAATGGGGTGAGTAAAGGGGGAAAT